TTTGGATTTTTCTGTGTCATCAACCGAATCGGGTAGGGTTTGTGTGGGTTGGTCTGATTCAAAAACTGAACCGCGATGGAAGGCTAGGGTTCTTGTCTAGGATGAAAAGCAAATGGTGTTTCGGTTTATTTGCTCGATTCCAAGAAGAAACTGTGATGGATGGTGAGGGCTTGAGATGGATTTAGTCGATGATGGGTCTGTGCTAGGGTTTATTTTTTTTCTCTTTCTCACGATTCTGATTTGTCTCTTTAGTTTCTTTGCTTCTTTTCTTCTTTTGGGCCGCTGATTTAGTTGACTCTGGCCCAACTCTCTTCTTTCCTTCTTTGTGCGTCTAACTCAGAAGCATTGGCCCAATTTTTTTCTCTATTCTTTTTGCTGGGAGAAATAGCACCAATTGGGCCTGAAACACAAAAATTCAGCCCATTAACACTCTAAATCAGAAATCATCATTTCAATGCAATAATTGAGGTTTTTATTAACAAAGATATTCTTTTCATTCCCATTTTATCATCAAATCACATGCTCTAAGTCACAATTCATGGACTTATCACACCCCCAAACTTACATTGTTACTTGTCCTCAAGTAACAGAGAAAGTCAGCTCATGGATTCAGCAAATTAACCACTCTTCTCAACCAATTTTTTTTTTCAGTACATCATTCAAAGATACTCAGAACCAATCAGTGCATCATATTATCATAAAGAGCATGGAACAGAGGAGTGTACTTAGTTCAGCAATCAATCAATCACAAACCAGGCAGCTTGGTGATCCTTTTATTCCATAAAAATACTCAGCATGCAGTGTGCAAAATTCAAATGCATGGGTGCCTCACTACTATTGAATAATGACAAAAGAGATCTTTGAAAATTCGTTTCTTAACACAACATGCAGAATTTTCAAAGGGTTCTGTTTCTTAACAGAGATGGCAACTCTTTACATCCTCACTTAATCACAAAAATATTCAACCAATGCTCAAGGGTTTTGTTTCTCTCAATCCAACACTGGGAAAAGATGTAACATAGGCTTGCTAAGATGCTCTTGTCTCGCAAGTGACACACAGACCTAAGCGCAATCAAAGGGACTTGAATAGGTTGTAACTTGGCTAAGGTGAAGGTAGACAATTTTTGGGGACTTGGCTAACTTAGTTACAATGGAAAAGAAACACAATCCTGAAGCTTAGTCAATCAATACAGTGGCTGCTAATTTTGACTGCTATTTTTCTCTTTTTGACAACTTTTTCAAGAGCAACAACTCTTTTTTTTTTCTTTTCTTATGAAACCAACTTTTCATTTATTAGCAGTCTCTTGCTTTCACTTCCTATAGCAGCCAACAACATCTTGCTTCTTTTTCCATTTTCATCATAACTAAGAGGTGTGGTAGGTTGTGGGGCAGGGTGAAATGTGGGTATGTGAAAAGGAAAGGATAAAGGCTCAAAATGGGTTTTCAATGGATGATGATCTAAGGATGGCTTTTTGGTTTAAAAGTGGTTAAACAAAACAAATTTTTTTTTCCATCATTTTAAACTCAAGCCAGTACTACACTTCTTCAACTAAGCATCAGAGCAAGTTCTGCCTCACTACCCCAGTGTAAACCTCTCAAATTCTTTTTTGGGTGTATAGGCTCAATATCTCACAGTGTTGATAAAGTCACCATCTCATATGCCTATTATTAAAACTCACACTTTGCATTAATCAACTCAATTTCTCAATCTCTCACTGCCATCACCCCTCAACCATTAAAACACTCATGTCACTCTTCATTCACACAATTGCCCTGAGTTCCTTTCTTTCTTCAAACTTTCAGCTGCTTAGTTGTGATACAGATCACTCGCTGCTAAATACCATACAAGCCCCAATCCACTCTCATACTCAAACTTCCATTTCACAAAACAGCAAACAACTAAGACAAACATAAAAATAAAAAAAACTAACAACATGGCAACTACTGAGTTCAGCAAAACAGCAAACAACTCCTAATCAAAACAGCAAATGAAACAGAAGAAAGAAAAAAAAATGATTCTTAGAGCAAACATGGTTCAACAAACATATTATTCTCCCCCAAACTTATCTTCAACAGTGTCCTCACTGTTGTGCCTCCCACAAGTTACAAAAAAAAATTTTGCAATTAAAAACAGTGTAACCTGAGGCCAGAAGATGTTCTGGCCTATTCCTCTTGATAATCTGAGTCACCAGACTCAGATTTATCCATATCATCAGGTTCTGTTTCAGATTGTTCTATTTCATCCTCTTCTTCATTTTCACTAACTTCCTCCATGGCAGCTTTTGCTCGTGGCCTTCCCCTCTTCCTTAAGCTAGATGAGGTGTCCTCCTTCTTGGGAGGTTGTGGAGTTTCCTCTTCCCTTGTAGGTTGAGGATGAGGAGGATTACCAGCAGCTCTTGCTATGACTTCTTTAACCTGAGGATCAACAAATACTAAAGAAGGTGGCCAGGTTAAATCTTGAGGCAGTGAAGGCAAACCAGGGAAATTCACAAAAGTGTTTTTCAAAAAATCATTCAACACTCTGTCCCTCTCTACAATATAATCATGAAATCTAGTTTTATTATACATGAAAGAATAAAATTGATCATAAGTTTTTTGAAACAACAAGTCAATTTTTTTGTTATGATCTTGCATTTGTAAGAGCACTTTGTGTATAAGGCATACATCAAAGAGTTCAATCTTCAGAATATGTTTTAAAGGCATTTCATGCCTTCCAGAAATGTTGCCAAGTCTTTGGCACCTATCACACTTATGAACATAAGAATTTGCATCCTTAAACACAGTTGGCCAATAAAGACCGGACTGCAGCACCTTTGCTGCTGTCCTCATGCCACCAAAGTGACCACCATATGGTGAGTCATGGCATTGCCTAAGGATTTCCTTTTTTTCTTCCTCTAAAATACATCTCCTAATGATCTGGTCAGCACACTTTTTAAACATGTAAGACTCATCCCACAAATAAAACTTGCTCTCATGTACCAACTTTTTCCTTTGTTGGTAACTCAGCTCCTTAGGCAGTTCCCCACTAACTAAATAGTTAGCCAAATCAGCATACCATGGGTTGTGTTGGTGGCTACTAAAAACAGTTGCTCATCAGAAAAAGTTTCCTTAATGGCTTGCTCAACTACCACATCATCTTGCTGCCCTTCATTAAGCCTAGACAAGTGATCAGCCACTTGATTTTCAGTTCCTTTCCTATCCTTAATTTCCATATCAAACTCTTGAAGGAGAAGAACCCATCTAATCAACCTAGGTTTGGAATCTTTCTTTTCCACCAAATATTTTTTGGCAGAATGATCAGTATACACAATGACCTTGGTGCCTACCAAATAGGATCTGAACTTGTCAAAGGCAAACACTACAGCCAACAGTTCCTTTTCAGTCACTGTATAGTTCAATTGGGCTCCATTTAAGGTTCAGCTGGCATAGTATATAGAGTGGAAAACTCTATTTTTTCTTTGTCTTAAAACAGTCCCCACTGCCCAATCACTTGAATCACACATTAACTCAAAGGGCAGTGACCAGACAGGGGCTATTTTGATGGGAGCAGAAATTAATTTCTGTTTTAGCTCCTCAAAGGCTTTATGACAAGCCTCATCAAAATGGAATGGGGTGTTAATTTCCAGCAAATGACTAAGAGGTTTAGAGGTTTTGGAAAAATCTTTTATAAACCTCCTATAAAAGCCAGCATGCCCAAGGAAAGACCTTATCCCCTTTATTTTAATAGGGGGTGGCAACTTCTCAATTTGATATATCTTAGCTTTATCAACCTCTAATCCAGCCTTGGATATCCTATGGCCTAAGACAATGCCTTCTTTCACCATAAAATGACACTTCTCCCAATTTAGGACTAGATTGGTCTCCTCACATCTCTCAAGGACTTTTCCCAAATTTCCTAGACACTCATCATAAGAGTCTCCAAAAACACTGAAGTCATCCATGAAGACTTCCACAAACTGTTCTATCATGTTAGTAAAAATGGCCATCATGCACCTTTGAAAGGTGGCTGGTGCATTGTACAGCCCAAAGGGCATTCTCCTAAAGGCAAAGATGCCATAGGGACAAGTAAAAGTGGTCTTTGGCTGGTCCTCAGGGGCTAAGGCTATTTGATTGTACCCTGAATAGCCATCTAGAAACAGTAATATTCCTTAACAGCTAATCTATCTAGCATTTGGTCAATGAAAGGCAAGGGGAAATGGTCCTTCCTAGTGGCTTTGTTGAGTTTTCTATAGTCAATACAGATCCTCCAACCAGTGACAGTCCTAGTGGGTATTAATTCTTTTTTTCTTTTTCATTTTCCACAACAGTGATCCCACCCTTTTTTAGGACACACTGTACTGGGCTGACCCAGTTACTGTCAGAAACGGGATATATGATCCCAGCATCCAGCCACTTAATAATTTCTTTTTTTACTACCTCTTTCATGATTGGGTTAAGCCTTCTTTGCTGCTCTCTAGAGCTGCTGGTTGGGTCATTAAAAAGGATTTTATGTGTGCAATAGGAAGGGTTAATTCCTTTTATGTATGTCAAAGACCAACCTATAACCCTCTTAAATTTTTTTAAAACAGTCAGTAACTGTTCTTCCTCTAACACAGTGAGCAGATTAGACACTATAACAGGCAATGTGTCTTTTTCGCCTAAGTAAGCATACCTAAGGTGATTAGGCACAGGCTTGAGTTCTAATATAGGTGGCTCTTCAATTGAGGGTTTAGGAAGTTTTAACCCTCTCTTTGCTAATTCCAAGGACTCAAAATTTTTATTTTTCCAAACCACATCAGTTCTGGAATTTAACCACTTAACTACTTCCTCAGAATCAATTTGACTGATTTCTAGACCCTAAAAATCAGAATTTTGTAAAGAGTCTACTGAAGACTCATGCAAAAATCTATCTATGACCACATAGTCAATGATATCCAGCCTAGAACACTCCTCTATATCCATGGGATATTTCATGGCTTTCAAGATATTAAACTTGACTTGCTCTCCATTCACATTCATTGTTAACTCCCCTCTTTTACATCTATGACAGCCCCACCAGTGGCTAAGAAAACCCTTCCCAAAATAATTGGAACCTCTCGGTCTTCCTCATAGTCTAAGATTATAAAATCAGCTGGGAGAATAAACTTATCTACCTTCACCAAGACATTCTCTACCTTTCCTTCAGGATAAACTAGGGACCTATCAGCCAACTGCAAGGTGACAGTGGTAGGATTTGGCTCTCCTACCTTCAGCTTTTTGTACACACTCAGAGGCATTAAATTGATACTAGCACCTAAATCACACAAAGCTCTGCCTATGTAATGGTCTCCTATGGTACATGGGATTGTAAAACTTCCTGGGTCTCCTAGTTTAGGAGGTATCTTACTAAGCAGATATTGACTGCTCTCTTGTGTAAGAGCAACAGTCTCAAACTCTTCTAGCCTCCTTTTTCTTGAAAGAATTTCTTTCATGGATTTCACATAAGTGGGCATTTGTTCCAATGCATCCACAAATGGAATGTTGACATGCAACTATTTTAGGAGGTCTAAAAATTTCCTAAACTGATTATCTTGCTTCTGTTTTTGTAACCTTTGAGGAAAAGGTGGTGGGGGTCTGTTTTTGACAAATGGTGCCTCAACATTTGACTTGGTTGCTTGACCCTTTGGCATGGACTTTTCCATGGAAATATTCCTTAAAGGCTCATCTATAGGGGTCTGATTGTCAGATTCAACCAGAATGGGCAAGGGGTCACTATGCACAGCCCCTTGGGGGCTGTCATGAACAACAGAATTCTGAACAAGTTCAGAATTTGCATCTTTTTCTTTCTGCATGTTCTCCTCTTCCTTCTTTTTTAATGTGGAAGGTCTAACCACAGCTTCTGACTAATTTACAGATCTGCCATTTCTGAGCTCTATCATATTACATTGCTATTTATTTCTCCTAGGCTCTTCAGTGTTACTAGGCAGAGTACTAGGGGGTCTGGTATTCATAGTGTTTACTAAATGGCCTAGTTGGGATTCTATATTCCTCAAAGATGCAGGAATACTTTGGACAACAGCTTCCAAGCTGTTTTGCTTAGTCTCATTCTTAACCAAATATTCCCTTAACAAAGCTTCTAAGGAAGAAGGTGGAGCAATAGACATCTCACTAGGTTGAACAACAGCTTCCTGCCTTGAAGTTTGTTGGTAATTCTAGGTGGGAAAAGGTATTTTGGTTTGGGCATAAGAATGGCCAGATTGCTGCCCTTGCCTTTCGAAATATTGAGGTTGTTGGTTCTGCCTCCATCCTTGATTAAAATTAGTGGAAAAATTATTTTGGTTCCTATTTTGGTTCCCCACATAATACACAGATTCTGGGTTGGATGGGCAGCTACCAAACAAATGGGGCCACCACAGCAAACACAAGTTTCACCTGTGTTCACTGCATTGACTTGAGGTTGGGTCACTGGCACTTGAGGTGTAGGTATTGGAACTTGAGGTTGAGACAATTTTGCCTCAATGGCTTGTCCTTGGGATCTCACCAAAGTGGACAGTGCATCAAACTTGGCTGAAAGGGCTGTTACCGGATCTATTTCATGTAAACCAGCCATTCTCCTAGACTGATTTCTCTCTTCAGGCCATTGAGAATAATTTTGAGTCATTTGTTCCAACAACTCATGGGCTTGGTTAAAGGACATGGACATAAACAAGCCATTAGCAGCAGAATTTGCTAAGGCTCTATTTTGAGTACTCAGGCCATTGTAAAAGGTCTGTAACACTGCCCAAGAGGGTAAACCATGGTTGGGGCATTGCTTAAGAAGGAGTTTGTACCTCTCCCACACATCCACTAAGGTCTCACCATCCTTCTGCATGAAGTTGGTGATATCACATCTAGTTTGCACTATCTTGTTGGATGGGAAAAATTTCATGATAAATTTTTCAGCTAATGTGTGCCAATTAGTTATGGAGTTGGATGGAAGGGAGCTTAACCACTCTTTGGCTTTGTCAGCCAGTGAATGAGGGAAGAGCTTCAATCTCAGCACATCATCTGAGATGTTAGGATTCCTAAAAGTGTTGGCCACTTCTATAAAATTCCTAAGGTGTTTGTGTGGGTCTTCCATCAACAGACCATGGAACTGCCCCATGTTTTGGAGCATGGTGAACATCACTGGTTCTAGCTTAAAGGGTACTTCATTCACAGGTTGGGCAATGCTTGGATCTAACTCATCCAACACAGGTATGATGAAGTCCATCATGGACCTATCATTGTCATTTATGACAGGTGGGTTTTGTATCCTTGGTATTTCGTCCTCATTCCCATTTCCATTTCCTACATTCTCCATCTCTTCAAAATTTGGGATTGGGATTTGCCTTTGGGCTCTTCTCTTAACTCTAAAGGTCCTCTCAGGTTCAGGGTCAAATGAATCTATGAACAGGTGTGGAGTTACACTAATGCACCCTTTTTTAACTAAAACAGGTAACCTAACTAGTTAAAACACCTAGATTACTAATCAGTTTTGTGTAATAAAAAAACAAACAAACAAGAACCTGAAAACAGAAAAGTCCCAAAACAGTTCACAATAAAATTCTCAACCAAACAGACTTATAACACAGTACTACTAAATCCAAAATAATCGGAATGAGACTAATAATAAAAAACTGAAACTACAAAATTACAAAAAAAAATACTAGCTATGAAACAACAGAATAGGAAATTAAATGACATAAAATAAAACAGAATATGAAACAAAACAACAATTTTAATCTACCAATATTCACGAACTACAGTAATATTTACTAAAACAATATTGAAACAGAATTCAAATTAAGCTAAACTAAAAATAGCAAAAATAAGCAGTTCAGAAATAGCAATCACACAAAGAAATCTGATCATGTACGCCTCGATCCCCGGTAACGGCACCAAAAACTTGTTGCCTTGCTAACAGTTATGCAAGTAATGCGCGCAAGTATACGCGATAACAAGTAATATAGGGCTTTTGTGAGTCCCAGTTATCGTTCCCACAAGGATATTTGCGTTTTAACTTGAAATAAATGGTAATTGCTAAAAGAACTAAAAATAAAAACAAATAAAATTAAATGCTACTACTATTCTTAACTAATGAGCTGAAAATGTTTTTGTGGAGATTTTGTCTTTTTAAAACAATGATTTAGTTGGTGACAGGTACTTTAACTATTGCCTAGAGAAATGACTTAACTAAAAGACTTGTAAAATATTTTTTTTAATGGTTTTCTTTTAAGTTTAGAAACAGAAAAATAATTTCAGATTTTGACAAAAAAAAACAAGTGACAAAAATTTGTTTTAAACCAGTATTTGGAAGTGAGTTGGGTGTCAATTTCCCCTTCCCTCATTTGTCATTAGGATGCTTTAACAAAGAACAAAAATTGCTCCCAGCTTAACGAAAATATTAAGGTAATTGTTGTTTCCCAGCAACAGTTTTCTTCCACTGACAACAGTTGGCATATCCCTATGTCACTGTTGTCATAGGATCTTGAAGAACCATTTTCACAAGTTACATGGGGGTAACTTCATCCCTGAAGCCAGACCCATTGAGAGAGATTTTTCTCTCAACTTTCCATGTGCTCACAGTGGGGTCGAGTGTGAGTTATTTCCCAATAATCTCACACCACTAAGAGCTGACTATGTGTGATCATCACATAACAAACTCAGCAATAAACATGCACAGTAAACAAGCTGAAAAACAACCATGTAAACATTAAAACATCATCCAATAACAGTGAGTTCTGGGTACTTTTTTCAACCCAACTCTCAGAAAAATTAGCTCATCACCACAAGTTGATGAGCTAATTTACAGCAAAAGAACATGATAAAAACAGGAACTTTAAAATGTACGAAAACTAAAACTCAGGAGCTATCAACAGCCGATAGTCCTGAAGCAGTGCTCATCAAGAATTACAAATAAAATTACTAAAAATAAAGACAGAAAAAAAGTAGCATAAAAATATCCCAAAGAGCACAATAAAATTTCTTCGAGAGAAGAGAGGTAAGGAGAGAGTATCCCTACAAAATGCCTTTTTTTCCTTTCTTTATAGCTGCTCCAAAATCAGCTCCTCCAACCGTACGCTTCTCGCTCCAATCGATCGTGGGTGTCCTTTGCACGATTTAGCAATGCACCACAAAAGCAGCTCCAGCCACTAACGACCTCGAGCTCATCACTTGTTTGGATTTTTCTGTGTCATCAACCGAATCGGGTAGGGTTTGTGTGGGTTGGTCCAATTCAAAAACTGAACCGTGATGGAAGGCTAGGGTTCTTGTCTAGGATGAAAAGCAAATGGTGTTTCAGTTTATTTGCTCGATTCCAAGAAGAAACCGTGATGGATGGTGAGGGCTTGAGATGGATTTAGTCGATGGTGGTTCTGTGCTAGGGTTTATTTTTTTTCTCTTTCTCACGATTCTGATTTGTCTCTTTAGTTTCTTTTCTTCCCTTCTTTTCTTCTTTTCTTCTTTTGGGCCGCTGATTTAGTTGCCTCTGGCCCAACTCTCTTTTTTCCTTCTTTGTGCGTCTAACTCAGAAGCATTGGCCCAATTTTTTTCTCTATTCTTTTTGCTGGGAGAAATAGCACCAATTGGGCCTGAAACACAAAAATTCAGCCCATTAACACTCTAAAGCAGAAATCATCATTTCAATGCAATAATTGGGGTTTTTATTAACAAAGATATTCTTTTCATTCCCATTTTATCATTAAATCACATGCTTTAAGTCACAATTCATGGACTTATCACCAGGTCAAAATTTTTTTTTTGTAAGGGACTTATAAAGTGGGGATCAAATTTTTTGTTAAGGACCAAAAAGAGTATTTACTCTTACATTAGTTAGCAATGTAGCAACATACAGAGATGATTAAAATAACGTAGCAATGCAAATTGATTAGAGAGAAAACTTATTCTTCCTCTTCTGTCATGTACCCATTCTCATGCTCTCTTCATCCTTTGTTTTCTTTTTCCTTTTTTCTAAAAAGAGAGGATTGATTGTAGGTCTAACATTCTCAAATAAGTTAATCTCTAGAGATGAGGCCTTCACTGTCATTTCGTTTGCCTTCTGTACAGGTAGTGTTGACTTTTTTATTCACCATTATAAAATAGAATGATGATGTATGAATGTACCAGAGTATATTCTAATATTTGTTTTGGAAGATTGGTATGATATAGGGGGAATGATTGGTCAAACTATTGGCTGCAACTTCTTATGGAAGCAACTAGATTATGAGCGAGTTCATAACCTTTTATATAAAGCTTTAATCTAAACTATCTTTACAAAAAAAAATTCGGGGGTGCGAACATAAAGAAATTTTCCTAGTTCCGCCACTGAGTTCGGGGACATAATTTCATCCCAGAGAAGGGCCTCCTCCACTCACTGGTTTCTAGTATCCCAACAATCTATATAATTCGTGATTATTGGGCCATTTATAGGAATACCACGTAACGTGATGTTACACTCTCCCAGAGTGTTGACAAATGCATGATCAATCTGAAATAGAATAAAATTAAATGTATTACATCATGTTTTAATTTTTAATTATACATAATAAATGATGACAAAATAATTAACTAACCAGGAGATGACGCAAGCCATCAACATGTCATCCAAGCGCTGAATCAAGACTGCGACAATGACTTGAGGGTTTGGTGGGATGTATAGCTGTTTGAGGGGTTGGGTGGGTTGGGTTGGGCTGAGCTTATGTAGAGGCTGATGCTTATGTTTGAGGGGTGGGCTGCGTGTTGAGTTGGCTGTTTTGATGAGCACTCCCTTCTGGCTACTAATATGGTGGTGGCAGCTACTGATTATTGGCCACGATGTGCGTGTGCACCATCATGGAATCAGAACTGAAATTTAAGGATTCCCATAGACGAAACCCAAGTCAATTTGAAAGGGTCATGAATGTATTGTTGTATGGTCATAATCGATATAGAATCTATACGCTGGCGAGAGACTATGAAAGAGACGCCGTAAGGGGTGACATATTGTTTTGTACAAACATGGCTCAAGGCCGAAGGATGTGGGGTGTGTGCATAATGGTAACTAAAAGAGTAGGATTTGGAAAGTGTGTGCCTAAGAGGTTAACTCGCTACTTATAGATATGATTATGTGTTGTAGGTGAGAGAGTTTGGGTGAAAGTCAAATTGTTAGGAGTTAGGAGATAGGATAATAGGTCATATCTCTTATCATTTGGACTGACCACTTTATCTTAATCTGTTGCTTATAAATAATGTAGACCTATTGGGTGGGTTCAGAATAGGAACCATATGATGATACAAAACAATGCATTTTAGTCAAGTGCACTTTTTTTTACCACTATCTCCTCCTTCAATGATACTGCTTATAATTTCTCCTTCGGCACCAAAATTCAAAAATAGAGACAATGGAGCAACTGTGATAGGATTCCCCTTAGCTCACTCTCCAATCTATCCAATCATGTGACAATTAGACATAAGGTTGAACTCATTTTAGTGAGATTATTATGTTTATAGGAGCAAATATTATAAAAATTAGAGGCGAGATCCTTTGACACCAAGGGCCCATTTGGATGGGCTTTTTTTCTTCAAAAGCTGCTTTTTTTCTTAAAAAAAGCACTTCTCAGTTTTAGTTCATTTGGATGTTTGCTTTTAAAAAAAGCAGAAGTCACAAAAAAAGCCAAAAACCTACTTTTTCCAGAAGCAAAAAATTTTAACTTCTAAAAAAAGCAAAAGTTAAAAGCCAAATATTTTTTTTCAAAAACTAAATATTTTTATAAAAATATAAATAGCTTTAACTTTTACAAAAAGGACTTCTAAAATAAGGAAGAGATAAAAGTTACTTTTTTTAAAAGTGGAAACAAACGGGCTCCAAATCTTAACCGTTGATTTTAAGAATCTAACGTTTAAAGTTTACTGGATCATACTTATTAATTAATTATTAATTCTTAATAAATTATAATCGTTAGATTGACAAAAATCAATGTTAAGATTTGATATCAAACTTTTTAGTTTGACTTCAGTGTCAAATGATCCCATTCTTAAAAATTAATATACTTAAATTGTAAAAATTAAATTTATTATAGCACTCCCATTCAATCACATCTAGCCATTTTATCCCTAAGGGGGCGTTTGGTAGAGGATAAAATTTTTTTTACTAGGGAAATACAATTACTCGAGAAATAGTAGGAAAGTAAGTTTGTTAGAAAATTTTTAAAAAAAGTTGTTTGGTTGACTGAAATATTACTGAAAAAATTTATTTAAATTTGCAAAGTCTATGTTTTGTTGAATGTCAAATAATGATGGGAAAATAGGTTAAATTAACGAAAATACCCCCGTTATAAATTTTTTGTGGAAGTGAAGTCACTCACTACGAGGGTCAATTTGGTCCATAACTTTTTCTTCATTTTTCCACTTCCCCATCTATCCCAAAATATCATATCTCAAATGGGTTTTTGGAATAGTAAAAGTCAACACAAAAAGAGTTTCCTATGCTTTCTAATCTCCTAGTATTTTTTTTTGCAAACTTGTACCAAACATGTATTTCTCAATACCCACTTTCACTTGCCCATCAAACTCAAAATAAAACCTATACCAAACACATCCTAAGATTTTCTTATTGGTAGGGGTATGCATAGAGCGGTTCATAATGGATTTTGACAAAAATCGATCTGAACCAGTTTTAAACGGTTTGATTTTCAAACCGAACCAGTTATTTTCTTTCAAAACAGGTTTTTAATTTTCTAAACCGGTTTGAAATTGGTTCCAAAAGCGGTTTATGGTTTATAACCGATTTTGATTTAAAATTGGTTTTAAACCGATTTTAATTCAAAACCGGTTTTAAATCAAAACCGATTATGAACCATAAACCGATTATCAAGTTCAAAATTGGTTTTTTAACAAATTTAAAATTGATTTTTGAGGGATTGTGCTATTTTTATAAGTAGTCATTTGTTTCGCTCGTTTATATAGGTAGTTGACCAACTATTTCTTGCAAGAATCTTCATTATTTTGGAACTCTTCGAATGAAATGATTCTTATAGAAATTGTTTCACGTTGTTTTGAGAGTGATTGGTAGAAGAACAGTTGAATTATTTTAAAATTATAAAAAAAAATTGCTCTTCGTTCTCTCAAAATTTATGTTACTATGAGTTTCTTTTAAACTGATGGAGGAAAGTATGGGTAGGGGTGTTCAAAATGTCCAAAAAAACTAAACCAATCCATAACCAAACTGCTCTACATTTTAAAAATCGATTATTTTGAAAAATCGATTTCATAAGAAACTGTATTTTATTTTTATAAATTGGTTATTTACCAAACCATAAAAATAATTGGTTATCCATAATTAAAGAACAAATAAGTAAATCCATTGTGAGTTGTCCTTTTAACGGCGCTCTCAGAGACATTAAGCCAATTGATTAATTCCGTTGCCCTTTTTGTGATGATTTTTAAACTTCATCTTTGTCATTTCAAAGCCCTCGCCTTGTCAAGTTATGAGTTTGCCCGGAGGCCTGTATGTGGTTTTTTTTTTTTTTTTTTTGGGAAAAAAAGTTGTTACGTTACATAAGAAGTGCTTTCTTAGGATGCTACCTTTCGATTTATGTGAATTTTTTTTTTTAAATAAATATTTTCTACTTGAGATGCTTAATTTTTTTTGCTAGTTTATTGTTTGGAAGTTTGAGTCAATTGATTAATATAATAGGCATGATAAAAGATAATACTTATTTTTTTTAAATGTAGAGCAGTTTGTTTATGGATAACCCTGGATAACCAGTTTATAAAATAAAATGCAGTTTCATAACCGGTTTAAATAGACCAGACATGTGTAAAAAATATTAGGTATGACCTGACCTATTAGCCTGTGTAAGCCCCAAATTACAAGTCTGACATGACTTATATTTAAAAAATAAAAGCCTTGGCCTAGGCCTGTTAACCTGTTTAACCGTAATAAACATTCAACAATTAAAAGAATAACTAAAATAATATTATTTTATTATTCAAAATTATTAAACTAAAATTGTATTTATTATATTTTAAATAAATAATATGATATAGGTCGGCTTGTAGGTTTATAGTACAAAAAAGTCTATTGCCTATTTTCTAAATAGATATTTTTAAAAGCCTAAACCTATTTATTTTATTATTCATAATAAGTCAAGCCTGCCCTAATATAGACTAGACCGTAGACCCCTGTAAACTAGTCTAACTCATTTATACGCCTAGTTCCCGGTACTTGAGTCACACTCGACTATCGAGTGTGCCACACCTTGAGGTTTATCATAATTGTTTTTAGTTAGACATGATACCTCATTTAATAAAATTTATTGCAAATTGAAATAGCGATAAAGTTTTTTATGATATTTTTTAGTACACATTATTCTTTTTGAATTAATCAACTATAAATAAATATAAACAATATAATAAGGAATTTTTTTTTTTAATTTTAATACTTAATTATATAGTAATGCTCAGCTATTTAAAAATAAAATGCATGTGGCTATTAAAAAAATTACACACGCATTACAATCGTAAGGTTCAAGGCTCCTCTAGCTCTAACACTGCCCTAAATTCATCACTAGTGACTAGCTGTTAGGTCTACATTTTATTAATCCTGCTTATATTTTTAAGTAAATAAGATAAAAATTAATAATTTTATAGAAAACTTGAGACTTGAAAAAAAATAAAAATAAATCCGAAGCCGACGCACACAAAGTCTCACAGATCGCTAGTCTCTTACGGTGTTTGACAATTATATTCCGCCCCGATCTGACGGTGGTTCTCATTTACCGGCGACGGATTGCACTGTTCTATTTCTTTTCACTCTCCAGTTTCAACCATCTCTTCCTCCTCCTAACTCCACCAGTTTCGCTTCATCGCAAAGCACACCGCAACTCAACTCCACCACGACCCCAACCCCAAACCCCTCCTCTCTCTTTTTTCTCTCTCCCCTGTTGAATCTCGAAACGCACGCGTTTCTGTTCCCAAAAAGGTATTGCCAGGGTTAATCAACGGTTGTGTTTATGCCTCGCGTACGAGTTGGCGTATTCGTAGTAGCATAAAATATTTCGCTCGGTTTGATAATTAAGGGTTTAGGTTATCGCTATGTCCGATAATTCGATGGGTCGAGTTACCATTACTCTTGGGCGTAGTGGTCAGGTATTCTATGATTTTTTTTTTTAAATTTTAATTTGTTTTTTGATTTCTATTAGAGGAAGGAACTACTTTACGTGTTTTGTGCTACTTTGATTTTAACTAAATTGTTTTTTCTTTTTGAATTGATTTTTTTTTTTTGCACTTACTTGATCAAACTATAGATGATAATTTTGATTCTATGCTTGTTCTTGAACACTGTTTCGTCGAAAAATTAGTGGAAGTGCACTAATTTTGTGGAAATGCACTTTTGTTATGTTTTATTCCTCATAAGTGATCACATTGTGAGCTTGGAAACATAAAGGTTTTGTTTCAAGACATGATGAATTGGATAGTTTGATTCATTTTAATGAGCTTCTATTATGCATTTGAGCTTAGGTTGTGAAGAGGAATATATCTGCAGCAGACGCTTCCGTCTCTACTTCTCTTACCTCGGTTGGGATGAAGAGGTCTATGAGAGACAGAATTGGAAATAATGCGGACAGTTCTTTGGGGCATAGGAATGAACTCCGCAGCAATAAAAGGTATGTTTGCTATTCTCTTAGTAACAAATTAACAATAGCTGCTAATGATAAAATATTTGATATTTACCTAGCTTAATTTCTGTTTGTTCTGAAAATTCACCATGGATCATGTGCAAGTAGACAGTTTTAATCCTGAAGAAAATAATGTGTTGTAAAATCTGTAATGATCAGTGTTAGAAGTGGGATAGGCTGCATGTTGTTCTGTATTTGTTTAATCAAAATTAGCTTTTGTGGATGATATTGTTTATATTTACTGCAGACAGCGAGGAGATATAAGAATGCCAAGTGGGCTGGGTGGTAGTAAGCTCCCTCATTAGTGAATTTACCCTTGCATATTTATGTTTCTCATTGGTTTTATATTTCTAATCATGTTGCCCTTTATTTACTTAGACAGGAAAATTGGCAAAGATGATCTTCGATTAAAGCTCATGCAAAAAAGTGCATCTAGACGGGCTGAGAGCAATGGTGTTAAGAGGTGCATGGACCTCCGTGAAAAACTGTCGAAGGCTAAACCTCCAGTGACCAGTGTTAATCCAAAGCAGCACATGCCTGAAGCAAGGCAAACAAGGATGTCGAGGCAAATACCCTTGGCCAGAAGTTCTGATAATTTAGTGTGCATGGAATCCATTAGATGCTCATCCTCTCCTTGGACATTGGATCATAATCATATAAGGCAAAGATCACCAGATGGGTTTCCAAGTACTTCAAGGGGGATATCGCCCCGAAGAAATGGGGAAGACCTGCAGAGAAGGCCATTAAACAGGACATATGAGGGTGTCAGGCCAGTTCCATATGTAACTAGAGATGTTCTTGAGACTACAAGGCCTCCAAGTGCTGCACCTTCATCTTTGATGGCACGCTCCAGGGTGTCCACATTGTCTCCAGTAACTGCTAAGCCTGTAGCATCTCACCATGGCCAAATTCCTCCACCAAGAAGTGCTGCACAAAGGGCTTCATATGTGGTGAATTTCACTTACCTTTTGGCCTCATACTGCACCTTGTTCTCTAACTTTGTTTTTTTATATTACTTGGAGAAACTTCTCCCATGACCTTCTACCGGATGCCTCTATTGCTTCTGTTATGCCTTTGTGGCTGTTTCATATGCTAAACTTGTTTGAGTATAGAACTTATTGACATGTGATGTTCATCTGATCTGAAACACCTGTAAAGTAGGGTTTTGTGTGTAGAAAGATTCTTTAAACATTCCAGTCTATATCAATGGTAATAAAGACAAATAACGTTTTGGGGTGATTCAATGCAATTACTAATTCATGATCTTCTGTGTTGGGAACTGTTTAGGAGTCTTGGAATTTACAAATTCTGGGTGGTTAACCAGATTTTATAATTCACTATGGTACATGTGCATCTTTAAGAGGGCGAGCCTGGAGGGTGGTAAAGCTACTCCTTTGTGACTGAAAGGCCATGGGTGCAAATTTGGGAAACAATCTCTTTGCATATATGCGAAGGTAAGGCAGGGTATAGTGATTGCCCTCACCCCATCCTCGTTAGTTGGGATTTAATGGGGAGTGGTTTATGGTACATGTGCATCTCTCTGCATATTTGAGTTTCCTCGATATAGTATGCTTAAAGTAAGTTGTAAATAAAGCAGTGTCAGAACTTGCAGTCACTCTGGATGGTTTCATGGCCTAAAGTTATGGATTTGCTAGTGGTTAGTTGGTTTTGATCAGTTGATTTTAGAAGTTATTTCATTGTGCAGCTGTATTTGAGAGCCGGTTCCTCCTCCAAAGTTTCTTTCGTTTTCTGGACAAAGGTGGAAAGTAATGCTTAAATCTGTTAATTTGATTCTAAGGAACAAAATATGGTGGTTGTTCATCAAAAAGTAAATAAATAAATAAAAATCTGGTGATGGTTATTCAGTGCCCTTCAAATTGAATTGATGGAAAGCAAAAAATTGGTTGTATGCTGTTGCATTGTTCTATTGTGAGAATGTTGGTCAGGTTTTGAATACAATTGTGAGTGAGATGCTGACTGGGTTGGGGAAGATAATAGGTTTTGTATATTTTTGGAGAATGGCTTTGGCATCCATTATGTAGACATTGTGGTGTTTTTAGACGATGAGCCACATCTTTGAAATTTAGGAGTAAAGCATCATGCGGTTAAGTCAAGTTTATTTGCATATGTTGTTTAGTTTTATGTTACTGTACTCCGCTCCACTTCTTCAATCTTATTCTAGAGGTTTCATTGTTTTCTTTTTCCACGAGAGTGAAACTTTTCATGATGATGATGCCTATGCACGCTCCTATAGAAAGGGCATTTTGTCTTTAGTGTCATTTTTTTGTTATTCTTTGTGTGTGGGTTTGTGGGGTGGGGTGGGTGGGGGGGGGGGGGGGGCGTGTTTAGAACCAACTTGATTTTATGCTAGGCAGGTCAACCATGGAAGCAATGTACCTTTTATGAAGATTGATGGAGAGGTTCAAGAGGAAGCATAAAGATCTACACATGGTTTTCATTAACATGGAAAAGGCATACACAATAGGTGCCAAGAGAGTTTTTGTGGAAAGCTCTAGGGAAGAAAGGAGTTCGTATTGCTTATATTTGAGTAATCAAAGATATGTAAGATAGGGTTAAATCTAGTGTATGAACACATGATGGGGTCACTTAGGATTTCCCTTTAATTATAGGATTGCACTAAAGGGTTAACTTTGTGACCATATCTTTTTATCTTGGTTTGGAATGTACTCACTAAGCATATCCAAGAGCCAGTGCTACAATGCATACTTTTTCATGCATATAATCAATTGAATCTGAAATATATTGCATATTCAAGTGTGTAAGTCTGTACAAGGAGGCTCTCTATTTATAGAGAATAAAAAGACCTAATGGGATGACCTAATGGGCCAAGCCCACAATCTAGACTATTCTCTAATAATAATAAAATAATATTATTTCTAACACTCCCCCTCAAGCTGGTGCGTATATATCAAAAGCTCCCAGCTTGTTACAAATATGATCTATTCGGGGACCTCTAAGAGCTTTAGTGAATACATCCGCAAGTTGATCATTGGAATTGACAAATGCTGTCTCGATCTCCCTTGACTGGATCTTTTCTCTAACAAAATGACAGTCAATTTCTATATGCTTGGTCCTCTCATGAAAGACTGGGTTAGAGGATATATGCAAAGCGGCTTGGTTGTCACAAATGAGCTTCATAGGCCTTTGTTCACAGAGATGGAGTTCCTTCAGCAATTGTCTCAGCTAGATGAGCTCACAGGTTGCATTTGCCATTGCCCGATATTCTGCCTCCGCACTGGATCTGGCGACCACAGTTTGCTTCTTACTCTTCCAAGAGATAAAATTTCCTCCGAAAAGAACACAATACCCTGAGGTGGATCGTCTATCTGAAGGAGAACCTGCCCAGTCAGCATCTGAATAACTAGAGATCTCTGAACTCCCTTTATTTGTATATAATAAACCTCTTCCTGGCGCCTTTTTAATATATCGGAGAATTCTAATAACTGCATCCCAATGGGAGTCACAGGGAGAATCAAGAAATTGACTTGCAACACTCACTGCGAAGGAGATATCTGGCCTTGTCACAGTAAGATAATTCAATTTTCCAACTAGTCGGCGGTAGCGACTAGGATCTGGCAGTGGCTCCCCCTGTCCTGGTAATAACTTAACATTGGGGTCCATAGGTGTATCAATGGGTTTACAGCCTAACATTCCAGTCTCATCTAGGATATCCAGTGCATACTTCCTCTGACAGATGGAAATGCCCCGCCTAGACTGTGCAACTTCGATCCCCAAGAAATATCGAAGTCTGCCAAGATCTTTGGTTTGAAATTGATTGAATAAATGCTCTTTCAACTGATCAATCCCGATCTGATCACTTCCTGTAATGATAATGTCATCAACATAGACCAGGAGATAAACGCACTGGCCAGAAGAGCTATGCCGGTAAAAGACAGAATGATCGGCTTTGCTTCTGATTAAGCCAAAGGATTCAACAACTGAACTAAAGCGGCTAAACCAGGCCCGAGGAGATTGCTTCAGGCCATATAAAGATTTCCGAAGTTTACATATCATTCCAGAATTCTCCCCCTGAGCAACAAAACCTGGTGGTTGCTCCATATAAACTTCTTCCTGCAAGTCACCATGTAGAAAAGCATTCTTAATATCAAGTTGGAGAAGAGGCCAGTGATGAATGGCGGCAAGGGCAAGAAACAGGCGAACAGAAGCCATCTTAGCAACAGGAGAAAAGGTATCCCCATAATCAAGACCAAAGATCTGTGTGTATCCCTTGGCCACTAAGCGAGCTTTAAGGCGATCAACAGTGCCATCAGGACCAACTTTAACTGTGAACACCCATCGACAACCAACAACAGACTTCCCGGGAGGAGCACGAACAAGATCCCAAGTGCCATTAGAGTGAAGTGCCTGCATTTCATCAAGCATCGCCTGGCGCCACCCTGGATGAGATAGTGCTTCACCTGTGGTTTTAGGGATGGAAACAGAAGAGAGACTAGAAACAAAAGTAAAATGTTGTGAAGAAAGTCTGTCATAACTCAAGAAAGAATAAAGGGGATGAGGATTTCGAGTGGATCGAATACCTTTCCGAAGGGCAATGGGAGGAGTCTCTGATGGAGGATCCGGAGGAGAAGAGCCGACGGGAAAAGGCGATGAGTCATCAAGAGGCAAAGTCGGAGGAGGTGCAGGCTGACGACGCTGGTATGTGAGGAGAGGACGATCTGCAGGTATGGAGGTAATTGGTTGCTCCTCTGGAATAGGGGCACCTGCAGCTGGTAAAGACAAGTCAAGAAAAGGAACAGGAAGGACCTGATCAACTTGTGACACTGGAGACGGAGTAGAGTGAAAAGGCTGCTGATCAAGGAAAGTGACATCAGCAGAAACGATATAACGCTTGAGATCAGGTGAATAGCAACGATACCCTTTTTGAAAACGGGTATACCCAAGGAAAATACATTTGAAGGCCTTGGATGTCAACTTGTCTTTACCTGGAGTAAGATCATGAACAAAACAAGTACAACCAAAAATATGTAAAGGCAGAGGATAAGAAGGTGCTCCGGAAAACAAAATACTGTGGGGAACATCATTATTTAGCACAGAAGAGGGCATGCGGTTGATAAGGAAACATGAGGTGATAATAGCATCTGCCCAAAAACGAAGTGGGACGTTCATATGAATGAGAAGAGTACGTGCAGTTTCAACTAGATGTCTATTTTTACGTTCAGCGACTCCATTTTGTTGTGGAGTGTGGGGACAAGTAGTCTGGTGTATCGTCCCATGTGTATCCAAAAATTTAGAAAATTCAAGAGACACATACTCTTTTGCATTATCACTGCGCAAGATTTGAATAGAAGCACCAAATTGAGTTTTTATTTCTGCACAAAACTTTTGATAAATTGAAAATAACTCAGAACGATTTTTCATTAAATAAACCCAAGTGCAACGGGAGAAATCATCAATAAAGGTTACAAAATACTGAAAACCCAAAACTGACATAGTCCGACTCGGACCCCAAATATCAGAATGAACAATAGAAAAGGGAGCAGCAGCTCTTTTATTGACTCTACTAGCAAAGGAAGAATGAGTATGCTTTCCCTGCTGACAAGACTGACAATTCAAAGACTTAAGATCTGACAAAAAAGGAACCATATGCTGAAGCTTCGAGAGACTTGGATGACCCAGACGGCTATGGAGAAGCTCAGGAGACTCTGTGAGAGAGCATGCAACTGGAGCAGAGGGTGCATGCAGATAGTAGAGACCTCGTGACTCACCGCCCGCTCCAATCGTCTTCCCCGTACTCGGATCCTGCATAGAAAAAGACTGTTTAGAAAAGTTGATAGAGCAAGAAAGAGAATGGGTCAATTGACTAACAGAAATTAAATTAAAAGGAATGCCAGGGATGTAATAAACAGAGGTTAAAGTCAATAAGGGAGTTGGTTTGGCTTGCCCAATGCCACGAGCAGGAGCCTTGGTGCCATCAGCAAGAGTAACAGAGGGAAGATTATTAGAAAAGGTAAGGGAAGTAAAAAGATCCTTATTACCACAAAGATGATCAGTAGCACCTGAGTCTATTATCCAGGGTCCAAGAGACGATTGAGAAAAACAAGCAACATGATTACCAGTATCTGGAGCAGGTGGCTGAGAAGAACTCTTCTGGAGAAGGGCCTTATAGTCTGCAGCGGAAATAGTCACTGATCCGGTAGAGGGCGGCACAACATCTGTTTGAGCAAAGTTCATATGTGGTGGCTTCAAGTGAGGGTACTTTCTATAACAACGTTCTTCAATGTGGCCCAGATATTGGCAATAATTACACCGAGGCCTTTGTCCTCGGCCACCCTGTCCATACGACATCGTCTGTCCGCGCCCGCCTGGGCCATATGAAGTCATGGGCCCGCGACCGCCTTGTCCGCGGCCACGACCACGACCGCGTCCACCATTGTTCCAATTACCACGAGAGACTAAAGCAGCAGAATCAGACAAGAGAGCAGTAGAGTCAGTAGCTGTGACGTGTGCGGGAGCCACCTTATCTTGAAGATTCAGAAGGCGCTGAAAGGTCTGGGATATGCTGGGAATCGCAGTACTGGTTAGAATGTTCTCACGAACACTTTCTAATCCGTCAGGGAGACCAGAGAGAGTCACAACCGTAAAGAGACGCTCCACTTGCGTCCTGTACACTGTAGCATCCGCAGCATGAGGTAACATAGCCAAAAATTCCTGCATCAAAGAACGAATCTTACCAACATAAACTTCCATACGAGCTTCGGGTGATTTGCGCAAATCCATCATCTGGGAGACAACAGAATAAAGTTGTTGAATATCATTGGTGTAGAGGTTTTTGGCTTCCGTCCACACATCATAGCAGGTCTCAAAAGGAATGAAAATATTGAGAAGAGATGAATCAATGGATTGCCAAAGAATACTGAGGAGCTGAGCATCAACTTTCTCCCATTCAGTCATCTGATCTTGGGAAATATCAGTCTTCTTAGTGGTGAGATGTTTGTCATGGCCTTGACCGGTAAACCAGATCTTAACGGAGGTAGACCAGGTCTTGTAAGTGGCAGATCCGGTCAATTTCAGAGTTGTGATAGATGGAATAGCACTTGAAATGATGCCGGAAGAATGTTTACTGGTTCCTTCCATCAGGAACAGCGATCAGACAACCAAAAAACTGTAAAAATTACGCGAAAAAGGAACAAAGTAGCGACTTTTGCACTAGAAACCCTCGAACGGAAGAGACCCACAACGATCGGTCACTGGATCTGGAAGGAGGAGGCAGAGGCGAGCCTGTCTGCCTTGGTTTGGTCGGAAAAGGTGGCCGGAACAGTGCACACGCGCCGGAGAGAGGTGGCGCGTGAGGCCCACGCGCAGACAGCTGTGGTGGCGCGTGGAGGCGCGTGCGGCGGCCGTTTGGGACGGGTCTTGGACAGAAATGGTCGCCGGCGTGAGGGGATCCTGATCGCGTGGTTTCTCGCCGGAAAGGTGGCCGGAACAGTGATGAACAGTGACGGAACAGTGTTTCTTGCGATGTGAACAGTGTTTTCTGGTCAAATAATGAAGGAGGATGACGATCTGAGATCGAAAAAGGGTCTAACAATGTTCGGAGGGTTGAAAAAGGTTGCCGGTATGATGCACGGCGGTAAAAAGGTTTGCCGGTATGATGCACGGCAGTACAACGAAAGGAAAAAAATATATATGCGGAAGCAGAGCCCTCAGATCGAGAGCTCTGATACCAAATTGAATCTGAAATATATTGTATATTCAAGTGTGTAAGTCTGTACAAGGAGGCTCTCTATTTATAGAGACTAAAAAGACCTAATGGGATGACCTAATGGGCCAAGCCCACAATCTAGACTATTCTAATAATAATAAAATAATATTATTTCTAACATAATCCTAAAGGTATAAGCCTGAAAGGGAATAAATGGTAAACTAGAGTTGTGGAAAAAAGTTTTGGAGGCATGTGGTTTTCGATTAAGTGGAAGTAAAGCAGAGTATATAAAATGTATGTTAAACAGGATGCTTGCTATCTGTAGTTTAGAGGTGAAAGTTGGATATTGAATCATACCCCTAGTCACTCGGTTTAGGTATCTTAGATCTATCATACAAAGTGACGGAGAAATGGAGGGGAATGTAAACCATATCATTCGAATTAGGTGGATGAAATGGAGAAATGCTTTACATGGTACTTGTGATAGAAAGGTGGCTCTCAAAGGAAGATTTTACTGCACAGCCATAAGACTCGCAATGCTCGGTATTAAATGTTGGGTGGTAAAGAGCCTACAAGAGCATAAGCTAAGGGTTGCAGATATGAGGATGTTGCAATGGATGAGTGAACTTACAAAATCAAGAATGAATGCATTAGAGAAATTAGGGGTAGTACCTGTTGAGGAAAAGATGGTAGAATCTTGCCTATAAGGTGGTTTGGTTGTGAGAGTAGAAGACCAATAGAAGTCCAATGAAGAGAGTTGACCAAATGGAAGATAGCCCAATAGTTAGAGATAGATGGAGACCAAGAAAACTCATGGTGAAACTATTAAAAGTACTTAGATCTAAATGGCCCTTCTGAAGACTTGGTCTATGACAAAACACAATGATGTTGTTTAATCCATGTACCTGACTCAACTTAGTGGGAAAAGGCTTTTGGTTTGTTGTCAAAACCTAGTTATCTTATGTTCACAATAGTTCAGAATTGAAGAGCAAAATGTCCTTCCAGGTCTCCTTATTATTCTCACACTTCTATACAGTCAAAAAATACATGCTAAATTTCCTTCGATCAATAAGAAAGGAATACATATAAATGATCTATGCATGGAACCAGAAATGCAATAGTCCTTTCAAATGTTTATGGCTATATTGATATACTTGATTTGTGTGTTTTCTCACTAGCTTTCCGATTAAACAGTTCGAACTTCAAACAAAATTACTGATGAATGAATATGTGGTCTCTGGGCATCAAAATTCTGAACAGGCAGAAGTTTGTGTGAATTGCGTTCATAGTTATTGTCAATCTATATGATCCGATCTTTGATGCTTGCAGTGTTAAGTAGAAGCAGATGCATTTTCCCCTCGGTTAAGTTATCTGATCAAATTAACTATATTGTTTGTCGTGACAAGTTCTGTTGCTGGTTATCATGTAGGGTGATGAACAACATTCCAACCAAACCGTTGATGGCCTGTTAGATGGACTGGGACTCAAAAAATATGCTGTTCTCTTCAAGGCTGAGGAAGTATGTAATTCATTTACTTATGTAAATGATGAATTATCCTGGCATCTTTATTTTCAAATTTAATTGAGGATTTGAGTCATATTTTGTTTAAGAAATATCTAAATTTTCTGTGATTGGTTGCAAAACTGTTTTACATTGAACGTGGTTGGAGAAAACTATTTATTAATCAAGGGATCCTTTGACTGTTTGATCCTCCATGCGAGAGAAGTTTATTTTAAGCAGTTTTTAATCTCTTGATTTGGTTCTTTTCTTTTTTGCGTCGGATAGTTTTTGATTTTTGTGCCTATGAATCAATGAGTTCTACTATATACGCTCTCTTTGACCTGTTTCTAAGTTTTGGGAAATGTTTCTAAAATTTACTGACTTTTACAATATTTCCACCTTTAATATACTGATGACATGACTGAATGCTCTGGTTCTACAAATTGGTTCCGTGTTAGTTTCTGATTCAGCCTACTATGTAGCTTTAAGCATCATGAATTTTGTTTTATTCTTTGGGTTTAGACTCTGATAGGAACCAGCCAATAACAACAGGTTACAGAACACAAATGAGGAATTTGAATGAAAAACTGAGGTCGATATTGGAATTAATTGCACAGTACAGAGAATTGGAAGAATCTGACGCACGTAATGTCAAATTGAACAAAAACTGAGACAAAAATGGAAATGGTAATGTAGAGCAATTGGAGAGGCTCTACTCTCTCCCAAGCCAAGGTTCCATCCAAGATTCCAGATGTCTCCAAAATGATACCCCTCTTGCTATTTGATACCAGCAGGTCTAATGCACTGGGTGTGACTCTAACCAAAAGATTCACTCCTAACTAACCTCTACTGAGTCAGCGTTTGCAGTTGAGAGCAATGATCCTCTACATCTCTTTCTTTCATAAGTCCTCCCAACTTTTTACTTGGCTTAACCATATCAGACTCTTTTTTCTTAGAAAAAAATAAATAATAAAAGGCTTATAAATTAGGAATGAGATATAACAGGACAAATTTTTTTAACTCTAGAAACATTACTTAAACAATCATGCTTGCAATTTATAACCACTTTTAAACCTATTTAGTATTTATCCTCTTCTTCGGTTCTTCCTTAGATTAGCATTCAACCCTTTCTGAGGAGGATTTTTAACTCATGAAAAATTACCTATTAAATAATGGTTTGTGGGGAAGTTGCACCAAATTTCACTTATTCTTTGAATCACCCTGGCTTGCTTATGGCTCAAAGCATGTCTCCTACAATGATTCATAAATTTTTTGCACCATTTGACTGTCGTAAAGTTCTATAGTAGCACTAAACTTACTATATACAGACCCTCGATTGTTTGTGTGGTGTTGATTGCTGAAGTTATCATCTCTTATAGTCTTATTACATTATTTTACTGGGGCAAGTATTAATTACATAATTAAAAAATATGGTATGGTTTTGAATCTTTTGAGGCATTTTATGTGCCCCATCTTTGGATTAGGTTCTCTGTAGTTTGGCATTTATCTTGTACGCTGATATTTTCATGCAGGTGGATATGACATCATTGAAGCAGATGAGAGAAAATGACCTCAAAGAGCTTGGAATTCCAATGGTAATTGTCTTTCTTTTCATTTATGGCATATGTTCAGTTGTTGTTCAATTGAGTTTGGAATTTAAATTAAATCTCACACCATATATATGGATTAATGTATTGCTGCTATGTGTATCAAAGAGATAATTTAGGATGAGTTCAGTTACTGGAATTGTGTTGGAGGACTTCTTGGTGCTAACTTTGACTTTGCATGCTTGTTTCGTTAGTAATAGTTGCCTTTGTCCAGTACCACTCGTTTTCCTCATATCTCTGTTTCACTTCTTGTAGCATTTTTATTATCTGGGTGTATATGTATTTGACTGTTGACCATGTAAAACATAGGAAAAATATCTTACATGCCACGCAACCCATAAAAAATAGGAACCTTTTTGAGTACCGTCCATCTCCCTCTTCTAAATTCCATTTCAACTATAACAATTAATTTGTTTTCTAATTTTGTAATCAATCATTTCTCCTAATCGACTTACCTAATATCTTACTACCTTTATTACCATTTTGCTGGAAGACATGGATTTTCCTCTGTACTGGCCTACACTTTTAGCCGGTGGAAATACTTTTTACATCTTACATAGTTTGAGGAAGTCTAGCAAAAATGCATATAATATGAAATTCAGTTCAGTCAAGGCTAAAAGATGTCTGGCAAATTTTGCATTCTGAACCATATGAAAGTTGTTGGTCAGAGTATTCTGCTTAACGTTATTTGTTGTTCTTGTTGCTGTTTTTGCTTTTTTATGTGCTTATATTACTCCATAATAGCTTGCTACAGGCTGCCATGGGAGCAACTTCATAAGCAATTAAAATTCTTATATCGATTTGCGTATGTGGTCTTTTATCTTTCTTCTTATGAAGGCTGTTTAAGTTGCAGGGTCCAAGAAAAAAAATTCTTCTCGCTCTCTTGCCTCGTGCCAAGCACCAATAGTGATCTATTATACTCGATGTAGAAGCTGACGCATGTTAGATCGCCATCTTTTTTCTTTTGGTGATGTTGAAACTTGAGAATTTGTACTAATACATATATTCCTTTCCTTTGGGGATTAAGTGTGACCCATGTATTCACTGTCCCATTTTGTATTCGAAGACAAGTATTGGTTAAATATTTAGATTTTTTTCGGCAATATCGATGTGTAATGTACCATTGGATTATAGTATTCCGCACATAAGTGTAGACTCCAATGCCAATGTACCATTAGATTATGTGTGCATGCACCCAACATGTATTACTACAGTACAAATCCTTTATTCAAATTATAAACAAATTAAAGTGACGTAACATTGATAATAAAAACAAAGGTAGATCATTTAATCCTTTATTCAAATTATAAACAAATGAAATTGATGTAACATTGATAATAAAAACAAAGGTAGATAATTTAATCGGTGATGTTTTCAAATACCACGCAATATTGAAAATATTTTCCACCATGGCTTAAAGCATAGGAAAATATATTATTGGGAACATAGTGGACTCAATTTGCATGGTTTTTTGCATTGAGATGCAAAACATGATATCACCAAGGACTTGTGCAAGAACTTAAAATTCCATTGTATTTCTTGTTCAGGCGACAAGTTGTATTTTAGGAAATCAGAAACTAGAAAGAACAAAAAAATAAAAAACAATTTTTTTTTTAAATTAATAAAAAACTAATAAAAAGTATGCATATTATTATTATACATGTTATATATATGTATACACAAAATGTAAAATAAAAAATAAAATAAAATCCAAATTAAAAAGAAAATTAGGTGTTGCTTTTAAAAGGATTTTTTCTCAAAAAAAAAAAAATTCAATATATTTTATTTGGACGTTATATTAAAAGGCACTTTAAAGCATAAAATTAAAAATTTTTTATATAAAAAATTATTTAAAAAAATTAAGTAAAACTATTTTTTTACTTTAGATGAAAAGTATAATTTGTGTGCGTGCGCGTGCGCGTGCGTGAGTGTACGTCAAATGAGTAGCTTTTCATTGGTTCTTTATCTAATCCATTCTGTTTTATAAATCGTAGGCAAATGTGTAATATAAATCATTATTATTCTACACAAAATATATATAAAAAATAAATTTCGAATTAAAAAAAAATTAAGTTGCTAGAAATATATTGTAATTAGGGTTTCCTTATTTTGTATTAGGTCAGATTACATTAGGTTTGAGCTTAGCCCATTAGTCTGTTTATATATTGTACAGCCTTCATCAGTCAATACACACAGAAATTTTTCAAATGTTCCTCTATTTTCTCTTGTTATTTAACATGGTATCAAGAGCCTAAGGAACTTTGAATTTTTTTTTTCCGGTGAATCCATTATTCATAGTCGGTTAATTTTTTTTTTCGGAGCTGTCTCCTTGTCACTTTTCGGACGTTTCTCTCTCCGCATACAACTTCTGTCTCGTCCAGAACCACCGTCCGGTCACATTTTCCGGCGATCCATATACCGCTGTGATCGTCTCCGCCGCGCGGTTCCAACGCCACCGGTCTCGTCCAATTTCAAGGTCACACGCGCCCTCACGCGCGCGTGACAGCTCGGCCACTCTCCTTCACTCCGGCGGCGCGTGGAGGCCCCTCTCCGGCCACGGCTGGTTGCGATCTTCTCGTCTCCTTGCGTAGGTTCTGGATCTGGTCTTGTTTTGGTGTTTGGACCTCTTTTTGTGTTGACGCACAGATCCCTCTTCTACCAGTTAGTTTTTGACCTGTTCTTTCTGCTTTTTTCCTTTGATTATGGACACTTCTGTCTCCAATGTTTCTATTTCTGGGACTCCGGCGGGACAAAAGTCGGAGTCTACTATTTTCTCAAATTATATCCTTGCTCTGTTTAGTGTGGATAAATTGGATGGGTCCAATTATGATACTTGGTCTTCCGATCTGCGACTCTGGTTGGATGGGCAAAATTATACATCCCATCTCACCACTAAGGCTAAATCTGTGGCGAAAAATGAGCGCACACGATGGAAGATGATTGATGCTCAGTTGTGTAGTCTCATTAAAGCTACTCTTCATCCGTCTATCAAGCAGACTTTTCGACCTACTGTTACCTGTGAAGCTATTTGGAGTCAGGCAAAAGCTTTTGTGACTTGGTGGTCTGAGAAGCAAGCAACAGGTCCTACTGCATCCATTGCTCCCACTGGTAATTCTGGTAATTCTTTTGTTGGCATATCTCAGTTGCACTCTATTGGCCCTTGGACTCTAGATTCTGGGGCTTCTGATCACATTTCTGGTAATAAGTCCTTATTCACTTCCATTTGTACTACTGGTTCTTTTCCCACTATTACTATGGCCAATGGGTCTCTGGTTCAATCAAGGGGGATTGACACGGTTCTTCTTTTACCTAATTTATCTCTGGATCATGTTCTATATGTTCCCGATTCTCCTTTTAACTTACTTTCTATTAGTCGGTTGACCAAATCCATTGACTGTTGTAATGTCCCACATCGGTTGGAGAGGGGAACGAAGCATGCCTTAAATAAGAGTGTGGATACCTTTCCTTGTAGGAGGCCTTTTGGGGGTAAACCAAAACGTAAAACCGTGAGCTCGACGGTGCTTGTGCGCGGGGCAAAGCAGACAATATCCTGCTGGGGCTGTTACATTTATGGTATCAGAGCAGTTTCTCTAGGAGAGCCTGTGAAATATTGCATGAACTGTTCGGGTTGATATATTCTTGAGTTTCTTGGAGTACTATGATATGCATGTCTGATCACCGAGTGTGAGCATAGCTAACTCATTCCTTTGTGTGAAATATGCAGAATTATGGTTCGCCCAAGAAGGACTTATGATCCTCCTATTGACCCGACCGATCCAATGTTAGCAGATTTGGCTAGACCCCGAATAAATCAGCGAGGAAATACTTCACAAACAGATCCAATGATAACGGCCTTAACTGAGATGCAACCAAATATGGCTGCAGCTAGGCAGCGAGAGCTGGAAGTGATGATGAAAGCAAATCAAGACCTGTTAGAGGCTAATAGGTTGGCCAATCAAGAAATTATGGCAGCAAGCAGAATGGCGAATATTGAAATGATGAGATTACTCTTGGTTGAGGTGAGGGCTGGTGGGCAAGGTCCACAGCCACAGCCTTTGCAACAGCCACAACCACAGCCTGAGCCACAACCACAACAACCTATTCCTCCTCCTCATAATCCCATTGTTGTGGAGGGTGAAAGAAATAATGATATGAATGAAGAATCTAGTCACAGGGGTGGTGTGGCACAGCTAGCCACTAATAGAGAGCAAAGAGAAAGAATGCTTAATGCCTTCCGAAAATATGCACCACCAAATTATAAAGGAGGCATTGATCCTATTGCTGCAATTCAGTGGTTAGAAGAATTAGATCGCATTTTTACTGTCATGGAGCGTGATGATCAGCAGAAATTGTTGTATGCTTCTTATATGTTGCAGAATGATGCAGCCGATTGGTGGAGAAATACCCGTCAGCCCTTGGAATGTCAGGGTCATGCTATTACCTGGCCTTTATTTGAAAGGCAATTCTTGCTGAAATACTTTCCGGCTGAAGCTCAGATAAGGAAGAAGGGTGAATTTGAAGAACTAAAGCAGGGCCAGATGTCTATTGATGAATATCTGAATAATTTTAATAAGCTGGCCAAATATTCTCATTTCCAGAGAGCTCCACCTACTGAGGATGATCTGGTGTTTAAATTTCATAGGGGACTACATGATAACATTTCTGAAAAACTTGCAGGACACACTTTTGATACTTTTGCTGCACTCGTCAAAAAGTGTAAAAACATTCAAGAGTACTATAGAAGGAAGCATAAGGACCAATCTGCTCCTAATTCTGGTCCTAAAAACACTTCTGGGAATTCTAAAAGAAAAGGGTTGCAGGTTAGACAGTCTGATGGTAAGTTCAAAAAGGCGGGAAATTCTAATCCTGGAAATTTTAAATCTGCTCCTCAATGCTCTATATGTGGAAAAGCCCATTCTGGGGTTTGCAGGAGAGAACAAAGACTGTGTTATAAGTGTGGCCAACCTGGGTATTTTATTAGGGACTGTCCCTTTAATGGGGGACATGTTTCTACTATTCAGGCTACTTCGGCTCCTATTGTGGTTGAGGAACCATCTCTACCTCTCCCACCTCCAGTTGCCCGAGTATATGCAGTGACTCAGCAAGAGGCTGAGAGGTCAGCTAGTTTGGTGCGAGGTATGATTTCTATTCGTGATGAAATGCTTAGTGTTTTGTTTGATTCTGGTGCCACGCATTCTTTTATTGCTGATTATGTAGCTGAAGCATTTGGTCTGCATGTGATAAAAATGAAAACTCCTATGCGTATTGTTACGGCTGTGGGAAGTGTTTTTAGTGAAGACTATGTTTGTGAAAATGTGAAATTCAAGTACGATGGTAGGGAATATTCTGCCAATTTTATTGTATTACATCTTGCTTCTGTGAATTTAATTCTGGGGATGGATTGGTTGTCCAAGTACTGTGTGAAGATTGACTGCTGCAGTAAAACCATTTCTGTCTCATCTCATGATGAAGAGAGGGAGTCTCCTTATTTGTCTGTACTTCGGGTGGTAAAGGCCTTGAAGGAGGGAGATTCCGGGTTTGTTTTATTGGGAGGTCTGGTTGGCGTCAACAAGGAGCCAATTTCTAGTATTCCGATTGTCTCCGAGTTTGAGGATGTCTTTCTGGACGAAATTCCGCACTTTCCTCCAGAGAGGGAAATTGAATTTGCAATTGACTTGTTACCTGGCGTGGGGCCTATCTCTCTTGCCCCATACCGGATGTCACCTCTGGAATTATCTGAATTGAAGAAGCAGATTGAAGACTTGTCCAGTAAAATTTTTATCAGACCGAGTGTGTCTCCGTGGGGAGAACCAGTGATCTTTGTTAAGAAGAAGGATGAGTCTATGAGATTATGTACAGACTACCGGCAGCTGAATAAGGTTACTGTTAAGAATAAGTATCCTTTGCCGCGTATAGATGATTTGTTGGATCAGTTGCGGGGTGCGACTGTATTTTCTAAGATTGATCTCCGGTCCGGGTATCATCAGATCCGGGTAAAGCCGGATGATGTTCCGAAGACAGCTTTCAGGTCCCGATGTGGGCACTATGAGTATCTGGTTATTCCTTTTGGGCTTACAAATGCACCAGCCATTTTCATGAGTTATATGAATCAGATCTTTAAAGCCTATCTGGATCAGTTTGTGGTTGTCTTTATT